AATCTGGTCAGGGCATTACAAGCCATGGCTGGATGACTACAACAAAGCAGACTGAATCCATTGAAGATGGAGGACCTGCACCTGGGTTGCGGGGATTGGGAATCAGGCTTCCAACCTTGGATGAAGCACCATTGGAGCCGATGTTGAGGGTGAAGAGTCTGGGCGTGTTCCTGGATGCCTTGCTGACTATGGAGGCCCAGGTTACCGCCACTGCTAGGTCTGTCTTTTTCCATCTGAGGCAGATCAGGCAGTTGGTCCCATATCTCAGGCCCCATGATCTAGCTGCAGTGACCCATGCAATAGTCACCTCCAGGCTGGATTATTGCAACTCTCTCTATGTGGGGATATTCTTGACCCTGCTCCAGAAACTGCAGCTGGTATAGAACGCTGCAGCATGGCTGCTGACTTTGTCATCTATGCCAACAGACCAAAAACCACTGTGGTAAAATCAACAATGACACATTTAATAATTCTACGAGCATCAATTTGTGAAGCTATTAATCTTACAATATGGTAAAAGAATTCAGGCATAGGCAAAGCAAAATCCAACATAATCATATCCTCGATGAGCACACTGGTTTTTACACTCATTTCACCGGTGTGCTCATCGAGGATATGATTATGTTGTAAGATTAACTGCTTTGCTTTCCAGTAACTGTCTGTCTGTCTGAAACACCTATATCACTGGATCTAGGCTGAGACTTTCTAAGTACAGATTACTGAGCTTGAATTTCATGCCTGGGACAAAATTAATACCAACAATTTATCTGTAAGCACCAAGAGGAGGAGGAGGAGGAGATTGGATTTATATCCCGCCCTTCACTTGGAGTCTCAGAGCGGTTTACAAACTCCTTTACCTTCCCCTCCCCACAACAGACACCCTGTGAGGTAGGTGAGGCTGAGAGAGCTCTTTCAAGAACTGCCCTTTCAAGGACAGTTCTGACAGAACTATGGCTTGCCCAAGGTCATCCAGCAGCTGCAAGTGGAGGAGTGGGGAATCAAACCCAGTTCTCTCAGATTAGAGTCCGTGCACTTAACCACTACACCAAACTGGAGAAATAAATACAAGCCAACATGGATTTTTAAATACAAATAACGTCAGGCCATTCAAAATGCTAAAGGTTTGATTGGGAGGATCCCTTGGGTGGCGGTAAAATCCCAGAGAACTTCATCACAACTGGTTAGGCAAATACAAAGAGGTAGAGATAAGTTCTGCCTCAAACTCTCTGTAAAATAGGAAGGAAACTGGGAGCATCTGAATCAGCTGAATAAGACTGAGCATTTATTCCTCCCCCTTTTGCAGGCAAATTAAGGGCTGAGCTTGGTTAATACTATGAGCTTTTTTTTGGCACAAGTTGAAGGGCAAGAAGCTCTTTGATCTTGGCTAGTGGCCTGCGGCCTGGGGCAAGCAATGTCACAGGAAGCATTGCCAGCTCAGAGCATCCTTGTGGTTCATTGTATTAAATTTGGATTGGGGCCTATATTTTTCCTTCTTCCTTGTGTATTTTACTTGTAACTGGCTTTGAGTCCCAATGTGGAAGATAAGTGGGATTACAATGTTTAAATAAATATAACAAGTGCTATGTAAGATAATGATGTTTTATAAATACATAAATAATTATGGGTCATAGAAATGGGACAACATAGGCCCTTTTAAAAACAAGTTCACATTCAACGTACACAAGAATCCTTTGATTTTGCTCCCAGCTTTAATCTGTTAACATATTGTATATACAGTGAGTTCAGTATGATAGATGGACAGCCAATGCTTCCTGTAAATTGTAGAGTCTTGTGAACAAAAATTCTACTTTGTGGGCTACTGGTATTAAAGTTGTGAGTGAGTGATTTGGCTACTGCATAAATTAAGTTTGCTCTGTTGTCATTCTTCCTAAGCTAAATGTGTGAGCCAGAGGCTAAAAAACTGTGAGCTAGCTCACACTAACTCAGCTAAGAGGGAACACTGGATGGAGCAAAATGAAATGGATTTCATGTTATGAGGGAGCCAGGAAGGCGTAGTGGATAAGGCCGGTTTGATTCCCATCCTTCCTCCTCCACATTAAGCCTGCTGGGTGACCCTGGGCCAGTCACTGTTCTCTCAGAACACTTTCAGCCCCACCTACTTCACAAGGTGACTGTTGTAGGGAGGTGAAGGGAAGGCGAATTATAAGCTGCTTTGAGACTCCTTAGGATAGAGAAAAAAAGGTAAAGGTTCCCTTGCTCGAAAGCCAGTCGAGTCCGACTCTAGGGTTGCGGTGCTCATCTCTGTTGCAAAGCCGAAGAGCCAGCGCTGTCCGAAGACATTTCCATGCTCATGTAGCCGGCATGACTAAACACCAAGGCGTACCAAACACTGTTACCTTCCCAACGAAGTGGTACCTATTTATCGACTTGCAATTTCTTGCTTTCGAACTTCTAGGTTGGCAGGAGCTGGAACTAGAGACGGGAGCTCACTCCGTCATGCGGCAACTCGGGTCTCGAACTGCTGAACTACTGACCTTCCACAGCCTGCAGTTCAGCGTCTTAACCACTTGAGCCACCCCAGCTCCTAGGATAGAGAAAAGCTGGGTATAAAAACCAACTTCTCCTCGTCGTCTTCGTTGTAACAAAAGGCTCATAGGGTAATTGACTTGCACTTCCTTCCAGCTTGTATACATAATAAGTGCTGGATTTAATTTGTATAGTGCAACACTCAACTCTTCTGTAAATTAGATCATATGTGCACTTTTATTCAACTTGGAACATTCAACAGTTAGTTTAGTCATAAAATAGTCATGTTTTATATCATCCATAGGGTTTCCTGATGTGGTTAGAATATATATTACACAAGCAAAACCTTCCTATTTTCCTTGCATACATAGATGACCAAGAATATGCTCAGAAAAAGGGAAGACTCCTTAATAAGAAATATGACTGCTCACTTATGTTAAGGCTTTCAGTGTCATGTTGATGCAGGAGAAATGTTTAGTTCCTTTTTTAAAAGGAGAAGAGAGGCAGTAATGATGTCATGTTTGTTCAAGTGACAATGACCCAGATGTGGAAAAACCACTCAAGCAAATGGCACTTTGATGCTTGGACGGCAGTATGTCTGTGTGCAGGGTGAGGGATGTATGTTAGTGGCTGTGGAGTAGTAGTAGTAGGAGCAATGGCCGTCAAGGAGATATTCAGTACTGCTTTGCAAAACCAGTAGCCTTGAGTGTATTATTATTATTATTATTATTATTATTATTATTATTATTATTATTATTATTATTCCATCCTCCCCACCAGGGCAGGCTCAGGGCAGGTTACAACATTCATAAAGCATAAATACAGTTAAAAACATAATCAGCATATAAATAATATTTTGATTCACGATTGTCAATTGGCTTGAGCAATTCTTAACACCTGACCAGATGTTGTTTAGGGTAATATCAAGATGGCCTGTATGCATGGGGTGCCTATGAGTACCTGGCACCCTCCCCAAACAGCCACGCCTCCCCTTTTCCCCTGCTCTGTGAAGTTCCCACCCAGCTTGCTGGGGAGGGGAAGAACATCTCAGCCTGCACTTGGATTGCTGTTGGTGCAATTGTAATGCCTGAGCTGCTTTGGGTGTCAAATTCAGGCCTTCTTTGCCATGCATTTTCCCACTCTCTGTCTTCAGTTTCTGTTTTGTTTCATTCAGCTGGGAATTGGGGGGGGGAGTATGCAAGCATGTGTGTGTGTTGCTGCTTTGCTCTGAGTTGCACTAGCTTGTAACTGCGTGTAAGCGGGGCCTCCTGACAGTGGGAAGAATGCATGCTTGACCTTGAAGTACTAGACACTGCTTGATACTGTAACCAAATGGTTGCAGGTGCTGGAGAAGGGCTAATGGTGCACCGTAGTTTGCAGGTGTGATTGGAATCATCACTGTGTGTGTGTGTGTGTCATTTGACTTATGTATACTAAGGGAACTGGTGCCTACCGCGGCAGTTCTGACACAGATTCGTCTATGCTTGAAACATCTTCATCTCTCAATAAACAAATCACTGCCAAGAGAGTGTTGTTGGGAGTGAGTTCTGTTCAAGACCTGACATTGGGAGGTGCAAGGCGAAGTTCCTGTTTTTGCTCTCCTCTTGGAAGGGGCCGTGAGGGGAATAGCCCATTGGCACCAGGGGTTGAGGGGCTGCTCAGGGGGTTATTGTCCTCCTGCTGCTAACTAGCCAACAGACCCAGGTTGTCTCCGTAAAACCTTGAGGGGCTCTCCCAGCTTCTTCAGCAATGCTTGCCAGATATCTTGGATCATCTGGGGGTAGGCTTTGATTCTAGAGCAATGCACAATGCTTCAGAGAGAATACAGCTCCCAGACACAAATCCTGACCTTTCTTTATTATTTCTGAACTGCCCCAGGTACTGCTGCTGCTCCCCCCCCATTTTTATTTTTCTACTCTTACCTAGCTATATCTCTTTTCCTCTATATTTCCCTAACAACAACCACCCTGTGATGTAGTCAGCTCCACTGTACTAAACTGCCCCCTTGAGCCCCCCCTAACAAATCTGAATACAGGGCTGAAGATGCTCAACATTTAGTATCCTTACAACAGACCTACAACAACATGTTGCAAGTCTTTGAATCACTTTGTGCTCAAGTTTAAATTTTTTAAAAAGTTAAAAAATAGTAGAGGAGTTCACCCAGAAGTTGTTTACTTCCTATAAGAATTTATTGGAACAATGCAACCCTGATAATTTCTTAGATAAGAAGAAAATAAAAGGAGAAGCAGGCACAGTATTGGCATCTCAACAAATAAATAGTTTATGTGACAGGCATTCTACAAAAAATGGCACAAGCTTAAGCATCAACAAAAATTGAGGTATTTGAAGTAATAAATATTTAAATCTGTAAAAAAATATAATATTTTTCATTGTTACTGATTTGCCAAAAAATAGCTTTTTGCAAAGCAGTTAACACTGTTTTCCATCTAAGTCAGTTTAGAGATAACAGTATTTCAAACATGGTAGTTTTCCTGTTGTGAAAATACATAGGTTTACTTTCTTGTCTTCAGTATCAGATATTCTTCGATATAGTTAATGAAGATGTCAAATTCTCCCATAGCTTTGTAGATGCCTTTTTCTTGGAGCTAAGGAAGGAGAGGAAGGAAAATTATTTCCATTAGAATACAAGGAGACCTTGGTGGATTAGACCAACAGTCCATTAATCCAATGTCCTTTTCCCCATAGCGGCCAACCAGATGGCTCGTACCGTGGACAAAACTTTCCTTGGTAATCAAAGATGTACTGCCTTTGAAGATGGAAGTTCCTTTTAGTCATCATGAGTCAAAGCTATTAATGAAGGTATCCTCCTTGAACTTGCCAAATCCCATTTTAAAGTTGCTATACCATCACTACATCTCGGGGTAGTAAATTTCACAAGTACTTCCTTTGCCTGGCCTGAATCTATTGCCCCTTAACATCATTGGGCATCCCTGAGTTCTAGTACAATGGGTGAATGAAATAATTTTTTTCAGTGGCATGCATAATTGTGGCTGCGGTCACACGGAACAGAAGCCACACAAGTGAGACGGAAAATAGGCGGAGTTTCCAGGCGCGATCTCACCAGCACATCTGGGAAGCGTAGCACTCCCGTGGCTCAACCGAGGCTTCCAGCCGAAACTGCGTGGCAAAAAACTAGTACCTCGGAGGTACTAGTTTCCAGAAACTGCGGGGCAAGGGCGGGCGTCTGATCGCGTTTCCGGTGGCATCCGGCGCCCGCCCATGTCCCCTTGCAAATAAGGTGTTTTTTTTGTCCAAGTCTCTGTGGATGCGCACACGCACCCAACGGAGCATGCGCATTTGTCGTGTACACACACAAAACAAACAGTTTGCCGCGGCGCGCGCTTCTTCGTTGCGCGCCGGCTTGTCCTGTGATCAGCACCTCTCCCTTGCCATGGAACATCCATGGTACCTCCACAGAACCTCCACGGGAGGTCTGATCGCGTAACAGCGCAGTAGTTTGCCCCAGGGCAAACAGCCACGCTTCTCCCCCGCAGTTTCCTGCCCGTGTGACCGGGGCCTGTATAAGGAATCTGCTCTAAGCTCTTGACTATTTGGGTCTTGGTTGAGTTGGAAGAAAGCCTTTTTTTGCAGCGGTATTAACTCACTTCTCCAGCAACAATGTAGGGCCTAGTCTTCCTTCCTCCCCAATCATTATTCTACTCTGACTTACAGGAAGGGCTGATGGCTGACCCTTGTGGGGGGATCTCCCACCCTCACAGATGTGGGAAATGTAATAAACTCTTATGAATATGCTGATTTGTATCTTTGGATTGTCACCATGCAGAAGTAACACTGCAGTTCTTGACCACTGGTCTGAAACCTCAGTGCAGAGGGAACATTGTCTCTGTGGTGTGAAGTGCTTCACAGTGGCCTGGAAGTACATTTTTTCTTGGTGACCCCTCTCACATGCCCTTCATAAGTGATAACTATTTAAAATTCTGCAAGTGATTGAAATCCATGGAAGGGTCCAATGCGAGAGAGGCTTTGCTTGCTCTTTTGGTAGTAACAGGAAAGATATGTGAGTTTACTCTAGATCAAGTCCCATCTTCACACATTACCCACAAAGCATGGAAAGAGGAAACATGTCACCCACTTGTTCAGTGTTGGCAAAAGACAGTAGCAAAGTTCTCAAGTTTAACAGGATAATGAGAAATGTTTGGTGATGTGATGGAGGAGCTTACCTTTTCATAAGTTTCTTTGATGTTTTTTATAGTTTTGCTCTTCTTTTCACATATTAAGAATCTGTGCTGCAAAGAGGAAGCATAAGGATATAGTGCCATTATACCATTACATCACTAATGTACACTAACGTACCAGCAAGGAAGATCCACATTTGGAACCATCTTCCAGGAATTCAAGTGAGACAGATACTCTGCATTTTGCTACTCTGACTGGACACATCTTTTGATGTCAGTGCCAATGGAGATGAGCATCAGAATCCATTACGTTTGCCCAACTAGATCAAAACTCACATACATGAATTTTGAATGCTCCAGGGATCAGTGTTTTCCTGTTTCAATTTATGCACAAAAGATTGTTTCTTGAGAGTGCTATAAGGAAACTGCTCCTTTAACTACTTCTCCAATTCCATGGTTCCTCCTTTTTTTGTTTTTACAATCATGTTATTTTTTGAATTCATTTCCTCCTTTTTATACAATAAATTCCTTTCCTATGGAATCCAATACCTTTGGCCTACCAGTTTGGGTGGAGGAACAGAAAATAAACTTGCAATACCATTTCATTTGTTTGAATTACCTTAGGACCTCAGAGCTGCCTTGCTGACCCTGAGGAAGTGGTTCAGTTCATTGTTATAGTCAAACCAATCTTTGAAGTAAATAATGTGCTTCTACTCCTCCTTCCCCTTTGTGAGCTGCTTTACTTTCTGTTGATTGTTTACCTTAAACTATAATTTTATATGATGTCTGAATTGACAAACTATGGTTTGCACTGGCCTCCAAATTGGAGCTGAAAACTCACTTCAAACATTTGGATCTGAAATCACAGCAAATTATGGCTTAGAACCAAACTAAATGTTCTACACACTGAAGACAAGAATGTGGAAGAAAACTCCCACTGCAATCCATACCACTTTGCTCCCCACTATTCCATACCCTGATGACTCTTGAGGTAGGACTTTTGGGAGTCATGACAGGGGTTCTGAAAAGTCGTAACAGGTTCTGAAAAGTCACTCTAAGTACTGTTGTGCTTGCTCTCTGGTTTGCACTAAACAGGAAAATGAAGAAGGCAAAGCCGTGTATGAATGTAGAAGTCCCAGTTCTCCAATCACAGTTTCGGGGATCATGTGAACTGAGTCTCTGTTCTATTACGGAGGGGGTTGCATAAAGTTAAATTGAATACCAATAAATTTCAAGCTACAGGATTTTACTTTACCAGGTAAAGCATAAAAATGGCAATGTAATTTAAACAAGGCAGCAGAAACCTGAGGATGTCAATGACTGGTCTAAAGGGAAAAATCAGAAAATAAACTACTGTCTTATAGTACAGACAAAAAAGGAATGAACTTGCAAATGGCAACTTTTTAGCTTGAACAAATGGGGAGTCATTTTAAACAACACCAAGGGTCTGTATTTCAGGAGAAGAACAGCAGCATTGCCTAGACTGAGAGGAAAATAAATTACATGCACAAATGAAACAGAACAGACCAAAGGCTGAGATTTAGATAAGTTAAACTAGACAAAGCTAAGATATCCAACCAGAAGTAGCAAACAATATGCGGAGATATTAGAAAGACAAGAGAAAGATGCACCAGAAGAAAGAAAGAAGAGTGGCAGATCACTGGCACAGAAGTGATAATGAATGTTAAAGAATAAATGGTCCATAGAGGAAGAAGATGGCTTAGTCTAGCCAGATCTCACCAGATCTCAGAAGTTAAGCAGGGCTGGCCCTGATTAGTATTTGGATAAACATAAGAACATAAGAAGAGTCCTGCTGGATCAGACCAGTGGTCCATATAGTCCAGCATCCTGTCTAACACAGTGGGCAGCCAGTTCCTCTGGAGGTTCAACAACAGGGCATAGAGGCCAAGGCCTTCCCCTGATGTTGCTTCCTGGAACTGGGATTCTGAGTGCTTCTGAATGTGGATGGGAAACAACCAAGGAGGTCCAAGACAGCTATACTGGGGCAGGCAATGGCAAACCATCTCTGAACATTTCTTGCCTTGAAAACCTTACAGGGTCACCATAAGATGGCTGCAACTTGTTGGCACTTTTCACCACTACTAGAGGAAGAAGATAAGACAATGGAAGATGAAACCCGCTTTCAATATATACCTTCTTACTAAATGATGAAAGGAGAAGTACCATTAATCAATACAGAAGAAATTAAAATGAAACCAAGAAAGTATGTGTCTACCGAAACCCAGAGGCAGTATGAAAGAAGTAGAGTAATCAAAAGTATCAAAAGCTAAAGATAAAAGAAGAACAAGAACCTGACCACATGATTTAGCAATTTAGCGATTCAGTGGAGCTAAAAGAATGAAAATGAAATTGAAAGGGGCCTGAGCTGGCAAAAAGAAAACTGAAACACTGACTTTTGAAGTAAACATTAAGAAACATTAAGATGCTGGCAAGTGCATCAAGGGGACATTTCTTCAACACAGGAGAGGCAGTAGCAGCTTTAAATAATACAGCTATACTCGAGAAAGGAATGGAGAGGTTCAGATATAGTAGCTTGCTTCCTTCCTTCCATGTTCTGACTATGCAGCAATTTTCTTAAAAGAGAGACAGTATGAGTTCAGCATGAGCGCATGAAACCAAGAGATATTTTAGCTATTGTTCCACAGTCAATGTATTTCTGCAAAGCTTCATCTCTGGCAGAGTTCCAGGTTCTAACTAGTAACACGATATCTCATTGTCCTAGAGGAGACCTCAGCAAGAAGAATTTCCGGCTGCTTTGCTAAGCACAATGGTTTACTCTGTGGCCTTGCATGCTAGTTCTAGAGTCATTCTGTGACCAGATGACACAATGAAAACACTACAGCAAAGAAATGTTGGTATCTGGGGCTGAAACTTTGTCAACTAGAATTCAGTATTCAACAGAGAACTACTAGGTAAGGGTCCTGTGAACTTTATAAAGGGAGATCTACTTTAAAGGGTGATTATGTAAATTGTGATAGGCTCTGTGATAAAAGAGTGGCTCTGGCTGCAGTCACACACACTAAATAATCCATTTTCAATCCACTTTATGTGCACTTTCCCACTGGACTTTACTGTGTGAACTGGCAAATGCAGTTGGAAAATGCATTGAAAGTGGATTATTTAGTGTGTGTGACCGCGAGTTAAACATTCTGTTTTTCCTCTCAGTATACCTGTCTCCAACTTACTTTTCTGTCTTTCTACTTATAGTGAGTCTATCACATTGCCTTTAGGCAATCTTATACCTGAAGCAGGCATGCTATTGTACCTTCTAAATTATGCCCTGGGCTGTGAGTATTCTGCATTTCTTCGTAGAAATTGCTAGTGGTTGCAGAGTTCAGGACACACAGGTATCTCAGATTCATTTAAAGAATTTTATCTAGATGTTATAAAGATCAAATTGAAAGTGTTTAGAGAATGCCCTGTGAAATTTCAGAAGCTAGTTGGATTTCTAGTACCCACAAATTTCAATATTCTTCATAGCTTGGCTGCATTTGCAGTGAAGGTATCTCCACCACTGCCTGTCAAAATCTTATGAATGTCTGCAGTCATACCGTTGTACATGAGATACCACTGTATCTCTGATTTACAAACTGAAAATGGAAAACATTGAATGGGCTACAGTCAAAGGCACAGAAAGGGGAAACAGTGTCAAACTAGTGCCTTCTGTGAAATCCAGAACAGTAATCACACCACTTCATCTTGTTCTCCCTGTTCCAAGTAGAATCTGGAGTTTCAAGGGCTGTCCTTTTTGCAGAACAGCAATCTCATATAGGAAGCCTACTATTTGATTTTAGGAAATTAGGTCTGTTGGATGCCATATTTTACTACTCTAGGGCAATTGTACTTTTTAGTTTCCACTGTGCACTTAACAGATACAGGATGTTGTAATACTGCAGAATCTTTTACAAGCCACCAGGGCAGGTGGGTCAGTACATAGGTAGCTGAGGAGAGGAAATACAAGTACTTACACAGCGTTTGAGTGTCTGTCTCAGATGCAGAAGCTTGTTTCCTATACAGTTCACGTGTTCCTTGATGCTTTTGCTCGCATTGCTTGCTTTTAACAAAACATCTTCCAGGTAAAACTGGATCATTTCTGCCACTGACTGGCAGCCCAAGTACTCCTATGAGACAACAGTTGTAATGGTCAGAGGCCATGAAGGAGAAATTTCCTTGGGTGTTCCATATTAATCCATATGTTATGCACATGCACATTCTGTTCATTCTGATGTCTGTACTGTTTAATAAATCAGAAAGCATATGATGTGAAAAATTTTGCTTGAAGTGTCACAGCCTAACAATGTTGGAAGCTATATCTGTCTATCTGACCTCCACTTCCTGTCCAGTAGACAGCATGAAATACACCCAACCCCATGAAACCCCAGTGCTTCAGAAAAACGACTTTCCTAGATAAAGCCATGTTCATTACACAAAAGCATCATGCATTCTGCTTCTCTAAATCATGCTTCTAATGTATTATACAGTAATGCTGACTTCTGGGCAGAATGCAAAAGAAGGTGAGATCAGCTGTAAACTGGACACCATGGAGAAATCTGTTTAGGTCCAGGTGTTCAGTGTAGACTTTCAGAGATTCTCCTATAAAATGAAAATAAAATAATGCCTTCTAGTTGACCCAGGGTCATGAAAACATTCACCTACCCTGACAGACCCATACCAGAAAGAAAGATCCTTCTGTCTTACACTTGATGTGCATAAAGAATGACACCAGAGGTCAGTTTTGCCTGGATACACCATTCTGCCAACCCAGCAGCCTTGTGTTTAAGACAACATTACCTTGAATTCTTGCAATAAGTCTTCATTTAACAGCATGATGTCTAGTTCATCATCTCTGGATTGCTGTAAAAATAGACAGTTTTATTCATCCAGGCAAGCATAAGTGCTTGGTAAAGAGTGCAAATGGATATTGTGCACTGACTTCTACTGCTAGCACTTGAATTTGAGCATTGAGTCCCATAGATCAGGAGAAAAGTGGGATACAAATTTTTTAAACAATTTTAAATAAAACTTATCTGAAGGAACTGTCTCATTGCATCCTCCTGCTGATAGCAAATGTTCAAAATTCAGTGAATGTTCACAGTCTTAGACTAATGTTAAACATGTTCAAAAACTAAGAAACACGCCAGTGAATGCTGACAGTCATAGTGAGAAAACATATCTATTTTCAGGCATTCTCAAAACGCTTTGATGACTTTCAGCCTTTACACATTACTGTAAACTTTCTCCAAATTTATTGTAACATAAATAAATATTATTTTAATTTTCTCAAAAATGTTTTGTTGTCTAATAATTTTTCTTTTTAACTATAAATGTAGAAAGCAAACACAATAGGCTTCTCTTTTGGTGTTAATTGGAAGTGGGATGAACTCACAACCATTTGCACAATTTCACCTGAGCACTGCTTAAAACTAAATTTCCCCTGCTCCCTTTTCTTTCACTGTGGCTTATGCAGGAAATCTCCCCGTGTCCCCAAGACTCCTGCTTGTAACTATAAGCAGATAATGTGGCCCTCTGCCCTTGGGAACTCTGTGCAAAATCAGAGTCTTTCTTTCTTTTTTTTATGCTTCCCAACCTTTGGATGCAAAAAAAGCAGCTAGAAGAAGATATCATCATACTCACAAAATAATCTTTAATCTCATTGAATGCAACTCTCAGGTCTCTGAGTTTTAGAGGCAGGACGTCTGCAAACTGCTTACAGTTGCCCTCGTTGAGCTGGCAATGTGCCTTGTTGAGCACCAGGGACAGCAGAGTGACCGCTATGAGAGATTTCATGTCTTCACAGAGTTCCCTTGTGGTCCAGATGTGAATGCCATCACCTTGATTGGTCCCTAATTTATATTCAGTTTCCTCCCCCTTCACTTCCTCAGGATATTGGATTAATCATTTAAACCCAAAAGGTCACTGGGTTTTTCCATCAATGACTAGAGGTTTTTGTGAATTGACTCCCTAAAAAGAGCTTCGATTTCCCCCCCATTTTTTCATAATTTGCTTCAAAATGGGAAAATTATATTTATGCTACGTAGGTATAAAGTAAACAAAAAAATTGCTTTGACATTATAATGGTATCATCTCTCTCTCTTTTAAAAAAAAAATCTTATAAGGGGAGGATGGGTCTCCATTATTCAGATATCAGTAAACCCAGTTTCATTTTCCTAGCCAAGCCCCCAGCTGTAGTAGGCAAATCAATTTCAGATTTTTTATTTGCTGTCCGAAGAATGTAAACCCCCCAATTAAATATCCATGCAAATAAATATTTATCAAGAAAAAATCCCCTACAAGGAAAATAAATGTACACTAAATTAAATATGTCATGGCTAATTTTTAACCTGTCTGGGTATTTGTTTATTCAAAAAAATTATATACCATCTTTCTAGAGACTTCTTGAGGTGGTTTACAACTACAACCATAAAACAAAGCTATTAAAGCACAACCATTTAAAGTTTAAAACAAAGCAAACTTTAGCAGCAGAAGAATATAGTTCTCACAAAGTGCCATGGAACTTTTGTCCTTCTCTCTGCTCTGAGCCTATGGAAGGGGTGGTATAGAAATTAAAATACTCTTATGACTATCCACTTCTTTGTGCAGTGAGAAGTTCCAGGGCTAAATGCTTACCTGAGAAGGTTCCCTTTGAAGGAGAGAGCATTCAAGTTCTATGGTGTTTTCCTAGTCTTTCCTTTATTTCCATATACTCAGGTTGAACACAGGTGGAGGCAAAAAGTTACTTCTTTAGGACAGCAGATCTTCAACCACACATCAGATCTCTGGAGAAAGAGATCCTGCCCCCCAAAGTTATTCAGTCAACTCAAAGCAGGGTATGTCTGTCTCTCACTCTGTTCTTCTATAATCCAAAGTGTTTCTTCACATGCACAGGCATCTTCTCCCTCCTTTCAGCTGGGAGAGTGGTCTCCTCCTCCAAACTTTGATTGGTGTTTGGACCAAGCTCAGTCCTGGTGGGATGTCAGACCGAATGGTTAAGAAATGTCGCCATTCCTTTCATCTTGTTCCCTTGAAGCACAGTAGTTGAAGCGAAGATCATAACCAGATTCCAAGCAGACAACATCAGTCCTCTGACAAAAAGACCTCGTCTCCAACTATGATGACCCCCCCTTTCTTTTCTCTCCCTCAGAGGCAAGATTTTCCCTCCATTTTTCTTTCCCTTTATTGACTGAACCACCCTAATAATGTGTTTTCTTCTTTGCTGAAGAACTCTCGCTGTCGCATCCTGTCACAGTATGATATTTTGGCTGTCGACTCAGCCCAGGAAACTGAGGGAAGGGTTGGGAGCCCCTTTAACTTAAACAACTTAAATGGCACTAGAGGCATTTTGAAAATCAAAAATAATTTTATTTAACATAGAGGGGAAAGGTCATCAGGTGAAATCAGGGGTTGAAATTTCAGAGGTAAAACCAGTACATTCACAGACTTTAGTTCTTATGTTTCAGGCTAATGAGAATTTCTTAAGCTTTTCACAGTGACTTAAATCTTTATGTTCAGAGGCTTGTGTTCCAGTGTTTTCCCCAAACATTTCAGTACACTTTCTTTGAGTATTCTCTGACTCTTTTGGTTTCCAGAAGGCTGGTGCACTCCTTCAGTACCCAAACCCCATCTTTTGAAACACCAGTACTCGTCTTGAGTTTTTACCTGACTCTTAAGGTTTCTACAGTCAGTTTCTAATCACACCAGACCAGACCAGGGATCTCTGCACTTTTCAGAGCTAATTCCCTGTTTGACTGGGTAGGGAATTTTTTTTCTCTTTCAAGAAGATCCCCTTTCCTTGACCTGTATGGGAGTCTTTGTCTAACTACCCACTGGTCTTTGACAACTTTATCCCAGTTCTCCTGTCTGTGTTAAACTGCTCTCAGTCAGAGCTGAATTCTGAAACCATTAGTACTTGACTTTTCTCAGCTAGGGCTGAAATCAGACTGAATTCTCTTTAACATTTGGTTCAGAAACCTTTCTCTGCTTAGTTGATGCTAACCAATCAGATCTCTTGGAACAGCCTGTCACTCAAGGCTCTCTGGCTTCACAGTCATTTATCTTTTTACACAGCACTTCTAAGCTTGTAAAATGCAGTCCGTCACACCCATCTATTTCTAAATGGTTTTACAGCTTAACAGGAAATCAGAAGCACACAAAATGATTAATTGCTAAAGATTCACACATTATCAAGAACATTTCCCCCTTCACCATACACATTTCCCTTTGATTTAGAACTATTCCCATTTGCAATTCTCATTCCTATCATCAATTAGCTATGCAAACAAACTATATTTACTTATTGATTTAAAGTGTCCCATTCTCAAAGTACCTCACTAAATTCCATGAAAATAATTATTCCAGCTTCTTTCTTGCTGTTCACTTTGGTTTCTTTGACCAGTCTTCATGCTTCTCCCTTGATAGACATAATCCAGAAGAATATATGCTGGTTAACTTTAGGAATTCAATCCTCATTTACATGTGCTTTCACTACCACCTGACTTTTCCAGTTTGTGCTACTCAATAGATTCAAGCAATCAGTGTTTTTCCTTCCATCCCAAATAAAAACACAGAGAACAGGACATAACAAAAATCTTAACAGTATAATAATCCTGCCTTATTTTATTCCATCTTGTTCCATCTCACGCCACCTACGTTGGTGTATTGGCAGGATACTGCCCACTCATTTTGCCTGGTTGCTCAGACACTGCAGGCTGAAATTCAAATTTTCATCTTGGAATTGTACAATTTGTTGGTTATCATTGAGGAATTTTATTATTGAATCAAGTTTTATAAATTGACTGTTTTATTCAATGTTGTAACTGCCCTGAGCCCTGTATCCCAGGGGAGGGCAGGATATAAATCAAATCAAACAGAAAAATAAAATATTTCCCCTTCTCCCAAAGATCTCCAAAACTCCTTGCTGTAGGGATGTTATCTAAGCACTTAACTCCAAATGCACTCCACTGCCAGAGTCCTTGATGAGCTCTGTTTTCCTCTGTTCTGGCTCTAAGTAGGATTCGAGCAAATCCTGTAGCTAACAAAAGGAGGTCAAGGTGTTGGAATATGCAAGGTCTATCATGCTAGATAAAGAAGATAAGAACATCCTGCAGGGGGCAGCAGAGGGGACAACTAGCTCGTATAGTGAAATTAGGGACTTCCTACTATTTTCTAACAGTCTCCTGTCTCCTGATTGGCTCAGCCAGGGATGTGTCCCGCTTCTGCTGAGTTACACAGCTAGCTAGTTACACAGACTTCTCTTTCTCTCTCCTCTTTCTTACAAAGTTTATTCTCTTCTTAATAAACTGACTTTATTCTTTAAACAGTTTGTGTTCCACTTTACTGCGGTATCTACACTCTGCCAACATAAGGAACATTTCTATGAGTGCAAATTGTGAAGAGAGTCTCTTTTTTCTTCTTCTTACTGCTTCTGAACTGGTTCCCACACCCTTCCAATTCTAACTTTGGTCCAAACTTTAGATTTGCTACAAATCTTTATATGATGGTTTATTCTTCAGAACTAGCAGGGCTGATCCACTCAAACCAATTCATAAAATTCTGTCTATCATTCTGTAACGGAACAGCAGTATATCAACGCCATGGAATGCCTGGAGTATTTTGCTATAGTGCTATAGTGCTATAGCGCTATAGCACTATAAAGCGAACGTTAAAAAAAAAAAGCCGGAGATCGCCCACGTGAGCGAAAAACAGCGGGGAAAAAGCGGTGCAGTCTGAAATGGCAAACCGCTTCAGATCCAGCTCTTTACCGGAAGGGGAAAGCCATGTTTGAAATGGCAGCCGTATACCGGTTTACTCCATGACGGATCAAAAACGGCTTCAAAACAGGTTAAAAAGGGTAATGTGAAATTCCTCAATTACATCGGTCTCTTTTGCTGTCATGACCTACTGAATAGTTTTCCACTGGGAAGTTCTGTCTCTGAGGTCTCCTATGAGGTTTGTCAGATGTAGGGGCCCAATCCCACCAGCTTCCTGGAGTACATATGGAGTAAAGAAGCCCAAAAAGGATTTTTCCTCACTCATAATCTATATATCTAATAGCGAAGGTGCCCCCTGCGTGCGGATACTTATTTCCACACATCGGGGGCACCTGGGGGGGAGGGAGATGTTTGTGCACACTTGGGGCAGTCCCCAGGTGTGCACAAAAATCTAAAAACCCAGAAAAAATATCGGGGGGATACTTAAATCCCCCCAAAAGTGACAGAGCGTCACGGGGGACCCGGTGGGATGGGGGGAACTTACCTCCTCCTCCTGCTTCCTCCTCTGCCTCATAAGTGTGGAGGTCCCTTCCCCCTTGCGAGTATCGTGGGTCCCGCCCCTTGTTCCAGTCTAATCTCCTTCTGTCCCAAACTCTCCAGCATATTCTTTTCCATAGGGTACACATGGGATTCTCCTCTTCCATGGTTGCAGGTTCATCTTCCTCCAAGGCACTCACTTCAAGGACTTCAAACATGTGCTGCTCTATCTTTATCTTCAATTTCTTTTTTTCTTCATCTTTGATGCTCATGGCTATCACTACATTTTAATCCACAACACTGTTGACAGCTGCCAGGATGGACAAAGTTTCCTCTAGTCCAAGCCCATCAACTGTCTACTCTCTTCTTCAGTCATCTGCAACTAGATGTTCTACAACTGTATCTTAACTCCTATAGTGACTGAACAAGGCTCTCATGTTTTCTGCAAAACCTCCACTGGCTGCTGGTAGGATGGTGCTTCAGGACTATTTGTTGTTTTGGGAAGGTTTTAAGATCTTCTTTCAACATCGCTATGTTATTTGC